AGGACAAAAAAAGACAAAACAGTGTTATCAATCAACTAAATAGCACAAAATGCAGGGACAGAAAGCAAAAAGCATAATAAATGAAAACATAAGATGGGAAATATAAGTACCTCAGTAATTATAATAAATGTAACAAATATATTGAATATAGTTATATGCTACTTGATGTAGACGTTTAAAATAATACATTACAGAAAGTTGGGTGTGGTGGCTCATGCCTGTAATCCAAGCATTTTGGGAGACTGGGTTGGGTGAATTGCTTGAGCCTAGGAATTCAAGACCAACTTGGGCAATATAGTAAAATCTCATCTCTCTAAAAAAAATTTAAAAAATTTAGCCACGTGTGGTGGTGCGCACCTGTACTCCCAGTTACTCAGGATGCTGAGGTGGAAGGATCGCCTGAGCCCAGGGGGTTGAAGCTGCCATGAGCAACTGCACTCCAGCCTGGGTGAATAATAGTCCCTCATATGTATATACCACATTTTCTTTATTCATTCATCCACTGATGAAGACTTAGGTTGTTTTCATATCTTGGCTGTTCAAAGTAATGCTCGGTGGGTCAGCCTGTAATCCCACGCTTTGGGAGGCTGAGGTGAGTGGATTGCTTGAGCCCGCGGGTTTGAGACCTGCCTGGGCAACTTGGCGAGACCTCATCTCTACAATAAATCAAAAAATCAGCTGGGCATGGTAGCACGTGCCTGTAATTCCGGCTACTTGGAAGGCTGAGGCGGAAGGATGACTGGAGCCCAGTGGGTCGAGGCTGCAGTGACCGAGAACTGCCACTGCGTTCCAGTCTGGGCGATAGAGTGAGACTCCAACTCAAAAAAAAAAAAAAGAAAGAAAGAAAGTAATGAGTACAGATACCACTTCAAGATCCTGATTTAAATTATTTTGGCTATACACCCAGAAGTGAAATTGCTGGATCCTAAGACTCATGGAATCACAAAAGATCCCAAATGAGCAAAGCACTCTTGGGAAAGAATAAGGTTAGAAGCATCACACTTTCTGATTTCAAAATATATCACAAAACTGCAGAAGTAAAACAGTATGGTACTGGCCTAAAAACTGATGCATAGACCAATGGAACAGAATAGAGGCCCAGAAATAAACCCACATAAATGCAGCCAACTGATTTTTGAGAAGGGAACCAAGAACCCAAGGGGGAGAGGACAGTCTCTTCAATAAATGATATTGGGAAAACAACATTCACATACAAAAGAAAAAAATTAGGCTTTTATTAATACACAGAAATCAACTCATAATGGATTAAAGACTTAAACATAAAACCTGCAACTGTAAACCTATTATTAGAAAATATAAGCGTCTCTCTTTTTTTTTTTTGGAGACGGTCTCATTCTATTGCTAGAGTACATGGCACAATCATGGCTCAAGCCTCTAATTCCTGGGCTTACACAATTCTCCCACCTCAGCCTTCCAAGTAGCTGGGACTATAGGCGCATGCCACCTTGTCTGGCTACTTTTTTGATCTTTTGCAGAGATAAGGTCTCACTATGTTGCCTACGCTGGACTTGAACTCCTGGGTTCAAGCGATCCTGCCTCCTCAGCTTCCTGAAGTGCTGGGATTATAGGTGGGAGCCACCACACCTGCCCAGGAAAACCTTCTTGATGTTGGCCTTGGCAATGGCTTATTGGATATGACACAGAAAGCACAGGCAACAAAAGCAAAAATAGACAAATGGGACCATATCATCCACTTTACACTTTTCTTTTTAAACATTTAAAAAATTTTTTTTAAAAATTGCTTGTGAGAGCTTGGTGAAACAACTTGTCCTGTCCATTGCTGGTTTTGCTGTAAATTAGTACCAATACTTTGAAAAGCAATTTGGCAAGGGCTTTCATTGTTTATATATATGTATTTTTACATAGTAGTTCACTTTTGGGGAGCTGAACTCACATTTTGGCTTGAGTATTTTATTCCTTATAAATAAAAAGACAAATTGGACTTAAAATCATTTTGTCTACAACTTTTTTGATATCCCAGTGACATATTGCTGTGATATTTTTAGTTGTTTTCTATGGGTGATTAATGAAGTGAAACTCCAAATGTTTTGAAGTAATTTGTACATAATTTGCATATTTGTATTGTTCTTAACTCATAGATTGACATCAGTGCTCCTTATACTTGTCTTAATAATTTGATGCAATTAAAAAACACAGGGAGACCCAAATTAAAAACAACTTAATACTGAACAGCAGCCAAAACTGCTGAGGCTGTCCATGTGCAGGTTTGATAAAATGCAATCACTTTAGCCGAGTGCGGTGGCTCACACCTGTAATCCCAGCACTTGGGGAGGCCAAGGTGAGAGGACTGCTTTAGCCCAGGGGTTCGAGACCATCCTGGGCAACACAGTGAGACCTTGTCTCTACAAAGAAAAGCTAAAAATTAGCTGTGTATGATGGTGCGCGCCTGTTCTCCAAGCTACTCGAGAGGCTGAGATGGAAGGACCGCCTGAGCCTAGGAGGTTGAGGCTGTAGTCGTGCCACTCACTTCAGCCTAGACCACAGAGTGAGACCCCAACTCAAACAAACAAACAAACAAACAAACAAACGAAGTGCTCTACTGTATTTAATTTGACCTCCACTAACTACAGAATGTGCTGGGCAGGTGGAGCCTCTCAAGTATTTTCGTATTCATGGTAAATTTAAAATAATGTTTATTTCTTACTTAAATAAGTGGAAGCCAATATTACAACGTTTATGAACCTGGCATGGAGTTTTGAATAGCTAGGGGTTCCTGAATCACCATCAGGAAATGTTGACCTCGTCAAACCATTGTGTGCTTTACAGATGGAAGTGCCGGCTGAGATCCAGAGAAGTTAAAGGATTCGCCCAAATCATAAAACTGGTAAGTTGTAGGGCTCTCTTCCCACAGAGAGTTCTTTCCAGTTTTAATGAGTTTGAAGAGACGGCCATATGGGCAGGTGAACTTGTTAGAAGAAGAAACCTATGAGGGGGAAAGCCTCCAAAAAAACGAATTATATTTTGGAGGATGGGCCCCTTGTAGTACAGGCTTCCCCCATAGGTAAGTGTTCTAGGAACCCATTGACATTAGTGTACCAGCTAGTGTTGTTGTGAGAGTCAGCATTCAGCTTCAGTGAATTTTTTTTTGGAGATTTTTTTCAACATGTTTGCCCATTTCAGGATGGGCAATTTACAAGTGCTCTGGCCCACACCAGTTCTGAGTTTTCACCAGTTTTTGACCAAAAACAACATAACCCCCATGCCCCACCCTCCCTATTCACCCGATCTCATTCTGAGCTCCCCCCTACCTTTTTTTTTTGTTTCCCTGATGAAAAAGTCCTCAAAGGGAAACATTTTGTTGATGGGGAAGAGGTAAAGTACTAAAAGGCATCAAAACTGACAATTTCAAAAACTGTCTTGAGCAGTGAATAAAGCATCTCGATAGGCTTATTGCATCAAATGGAGAGTACATTGCAAGTGACTAAAGTTTAAACATGTAAGAATAGACACAAAGTTTTATAAATAAATTCTGGGTGGCTTTTTTTGGGGTCCCCCCTTGTATATAATACTTTTCAGTGAGAATGGAACATGGGTAGGACTCAAGGAGCAAAGACATATAAGCCTACCGGCCTCTTTCAAATTAAGAATAGGGAGAGATAAATTGCCTGATATACCCTTTGCAGTGTGTCCCTTGTAGAACTAATAAATGTTTTACTGAAGGACCATTCAGGGTTATGCTGCTTAGGCCCATGATTTGTCAAGGTTGAGTCCAAGCCTACAGGTAGAGGTGAGCAGGCGTATTGTTGGTGTAAGTGAGGACGTTGGATGTCAGTATCTTAGTACACACAGCTTTCCTTGCTTATGCCTAGATATTCCAGAAATAAAAAAGAGGTCATTCAAGGAGGCATTCCATGACTGTTAACATGGATCTTGTACTAGGAGCAGCCCCTGCAGCCCTCTGTGGAAGGGTTAGCCTGGGAACCATCAGGGTGGGTGATATGGTCTGAAAAAAAAGTGCTACCTTCTCCCACTTATAAGAGCAACGGCCGTAGTTGTAAACACTAAGTTTTGTTGACAAGGATTTAAGCATACCCCGTCATAATGAATTACTTCCTTAGATCAGCTCACCATAATAGCAATCATTATTTGCTTCTAATTTCTAATTGTCCCAGTTGCCCATACAAAAGTATTTGCATCACACTCTAATTCCCTTCTGCTTCTTCATTGTTGTAACTTACCAGAAAAGTGAGTTATACTGAATGTGTTTGCCTCTCTGTTTCCTCAAGTGTGTCCAATGTGGCCCCTACAACATCCCAGCTACACTTTGCTCCTAAGATATTATGTCAATGTCATTTAGCTTCCCTGTTCCACCTCCTCGTTTGTAGGCCTGGGTTCCTGTGGGGGTGTTGATTCCGCTTCTTCCTCAGCTGGGTTTTACTATAACCTTCTCCATTCTTCTACCGCCTGTTCCTTTTACCCTGCCCACTCCCCTTTCTGTGGGCGCTGACTGGGACACACTGGCTCCCCCACTTCCTTCCTTATTTCACAGACCCTTAAGTCAGTCTCGTACATCCTCCAACATTAACAATGCACGCCATAGCATGTTAAGGCCATATAGGGCCATCTAACCAGGGCCTCCTTATCCTGTTGCTGACTGTTATTAGTAATGACTTTTTGTGTTGGCTCTTTTTGAGTCCTAGCTATCCCTGGACTAGATTTTTTCAGTGCTGGCTACATGTATCTGAGATTTTTTTTCTTAAGTCCAAATTCCTTTACATTGTATTGTTTGTTATGTTTCCTCCCAAATGAATTTTCCAGAACTTCTGAAAGAAAAAAGCTCTTTTTCATCTCCTCAATGGTAGGAGGCCAAAATCTCCATTAACACGTCTCTTTAGCACCATCTCCTGGCAGAATGAGTTCATGGCTTATGAAGTCATCGTAAATGGCTCTCTATGGAAAACAGACAGTTTTGGATTTTGTTTGTTTTAAACGATGGTTAGATACCACGAAGTAGGTGGCAATGCCTTAACTGTATGTGCGTCATCAGGCCCGAGAGCCTCTCCATCCTTGCCAAGGGGAGTACTAATGTTCTCTCCTTTCATACCATAATTTTGGATGTTTCCTGTTGTTTCTACATCACAGGATTACATTGTAATGGAGAAAGGGTAAGTTGCCTCAATGTATAAGATCCCCGAGATCATTTTTAATTACATTGTATACTACATATTATGTATTGTATAATATTATACTGCAAATAAAGGAACTCTTGGGAATTAAAGCTTTATTGACTAGGAAATTTAGAAAGAATTTTTCATAATTAAAGTACCTACCCAGCTTTTCGAAGTATATGTATTCATATGCAAGATGCACAGAATGTGTAAAGAAAGGTTTGAAATTGGTACATGTTAAAAATTTCACTGTGTTACTTTTATAACAACTTCCATAGTTTCAGTCAGAATTTGGGGGTGGGGGCTCCATGACAATTTTCCTTTCTCTTCTGTCATTACTCCAATTGTTCCTGTCCCTTTTCCTTCTCTTGGTCTCCAATGCAGGCATCTCACTTTAAATTTGTTATTTCATTGCTTTCCTTGATTACTCTGAATCTTGTGCTGTGTTCTCAGTAGAACATGATTTCTTTCCAGTTTGCGTTCCTCTGGGGACAGAGGTCCAGTAAGTAGACTCTGCTGAATTTGGGGTTGTAGAGATTGTCAGCTGGGGCAATCTGGCAGTCTTTGACTTTATAATTATAAAGAAAGTTCCCTTCTGGTCAAATGTTTTTGGTCCTGAAGTTGTCTAAGACCTTTTCTCCCATGGAACTTAATATAATGAACCCCATCCTCAGAAGGAAAACAAGGAGGGTGGCTGTTGGCTGCGGTACCTGCTTTAGCCCAAAGATCTTTGTTTTACTTTGTGTGAGGGTGTTAAATATTGGACTCCATTCTGTTGTTTACTTCTGGTGTTATTTTTAACTCATTTTTTGGCTTTATTCTGTTATTTTAGCTCTTTAGTGTCTGTCTTGGCTAATATTTATTTGCTTTAGGCTATTAAAACTTTTTCATCCTTTTAAAAAAAGTTCTGGATGAATTTTCACCAGCATTGTTGTTAAAGCCAGAAATCTCAGCGCCATTCTTTCACTCAACCCTTTCCTTCACCTCTCATACCCAATCTAGCTGTATGAGAAACAGGAAAATCTTAACTGAAAATCTTCTTGCCTCCATGTATAAGATCCCCGAGAAAGATGTGTACAAAAATGGAACCGGAGAAGCTCATGCATCACAACAATGTACCAGTTCACATAGCACTGTCCATGGGGAAGTTTTTAGCCAGTAAACAGATAACTGTATTGGAATGCCCTCCCTACTTACCTGATCTGGCCCCCAATGGCTTTTTTCTTTACCTGAAGATAAAGAAAATATTGAAAGGAAGACATTTTGATGACATTCAGTGTATCAAGGGTAATATGACAACAGATCTGATGGCCACTCCAGGAAAAGAGTTCCAAAATTGCTTTGATGAGTGGACTAGGTGGTGGCATCGGTGCATAGCTTCCCAAGGGGTGTACTTTGCAGGTGATCATAGTGATATTCAGCAATGGGGTATGGAGCACTATTTTTGGGATGAGTTCACAGACTTAATTGTAAGTCTTGTGCATGTTACCCCCAAATTATACAATGAATTGGCCTACTTTCACAGACAACAATTTAATTCAAGCCCAGATGACTCCAGTGGTCTCCCAACCTTCTATTTTTTCCTCATTCCAATTTCTTCTTCCTAAGTAGAATATTTTAAAGGCACGAATCAGACCATAACATGCCATAGTTATACCATTTCCATTGCACTGTCTTTTCCACTCAGTCCCTGTCACCCTGCTATTTCTCCTTTTACCCCAGCCATACATCTGTCACAGCGCTTTCCCTCCTCTGTAATTTTGTCCCTCCTGTTCCTTCTGCCTAGAACATTCTTTAGCTAGCTATTATATGACTGGGTCCTTCTCTTCCTTCAGGTCTCAGCATAAATGTTTCCTTTGCAGAAAGGGTTTTCTGCTCTTCTAACTGGGTACTCTCCTCCCATGTCACGCTCTTCATTCCCTCTGGAAAAGAATCTCATCTGGCAATTTTGTTTATTGTGTTTATTTATTTATTGTGTCTGGCCACCAGGACAGATTCAAATCTGCCAATCCAGTTCACTGACAGGCCCCCAGAATCTCCAGTACTTCTGGCAGTTTCTAACATAGAGTCAGCAAAGAATATTCATTGGTTTAATTAATTGTTATTTCAGTTGTTCTGCTGTTTACCCAGTTTTTTAAAAATGATCATATATTTCATCTCACATGTCTGAAATCTCTTCTCTATTTTAACTATTGCCTTCCCCCACATTTATCTTGTTTTATTTCATGTTATTTGGCATCTTATGTTGGCTGAGATTAGATAGAAATACAGTGTCAACATCATATATTTTCATCATTTTCAACTTTCTACTTATATCTAGTTTTATTTTTATTTTCAAAATTCATTAAAAAATTTTTGTTTTGCTACAATTTTATTTATTAGGATATTATTTCCATATGTAATGTTTATTTATTTTAATCCCATAAAATAATTTTCTTCTCCTAAACAAACATCCTTGCCTTTTATCCCTTTTCTTTCTTGTCTTAAATGGGGAGAAGGCTGGGTGTGGTGGCTCATGCCTGTAATCCCAGCACTTTGGGAAGCCTATGTGGGAGAATTGCTTGAGACCAGGAGTTTGAGACCAGCCTGGGCAACATAGTGAGACCTCATCTCTACACAAAAGAAAAAAATATTGCCAGATGTGGTGGTGTGCACCTGTAGTCACAGATACTAGGGAAGCTGAGGCAGAAGGATAACCTGAACCCAGGAGGTCAAGGTTGCAGTGAGCTACGATTGTGTCACTGCACTCCAGTCGGGGTGACCGAGACCTCAACTCAAACAAATAAATACATAAATTGATGATAGATAGATAGACAGATAGATAGATAAATGGAAAGCAATGACATTTGGTATGCAGAAGTAGAGCTAGGCATGTCCTCAATGGCAGAAGTGAGGTGGCTAGAGATTGTCATTACTCAATCTGTCCCCCGTAAATACTTCTGAGTTTTCAGTAGATACCTATGCTTAACCTCAATGTTAAACTTAGTCCAAATCTGAGTGAGAGTGTTGAATATCCCCACTTTCATACATTGACTCAAATATATGGAAGCAGATAGACATCAAGATAAAACTGGGTATTTGCTTTTATATAAGTTCCAGCCCATTTTAGAATGAGATTCTGAAAACTACCATATCTGGAACACACGGTTATCTGATTTTAGACACTCTTTAAAAGCATTCATACCACAGACAGAGAAGACAAGAACAAATCCAAATCATTTCAAACATACCCGATATGGATGGACACACAAGAGATAATATCCAAACTACTGGAATTTGAATACATTAGTTAGTCTATTTTAATGATTAACTTATGCAGAATGTCCTTTCTAATGTTGGGAGAGGAAATAATACTCCCTGATTTGGGGTTATTTTCACCTTTGCTTCCAATCATGAAAACTAATGGAAACAGTACTTGTTCCCTGTGGGTTTTCAGAAACAAGCCCCTCATGCCCTGAGAATTAAGGATGCTGTCCTCCTTTATAGTGGTTTGGTCTCATGCCTCCCTCAATAATTGGCTGTGGAGCAGAGCTCCAGAGCCCTAGAGTCCAGGGAAACATCTTAACCTGCAAAATTCTGTAAGGTCCACCTTCTCACAAAAGAGACTTGTATTGGGCAATCCCCTCGGGTCCCCTCCCACTGTGGGAGATTTTCTATCCTCTTACTAAATAAATCCTGCTTTCAAAGAAAAAAAAAAAAGAGTCTTGCATCACTGAAAAGCAGGACAGGAAGTCTTAACTCTTCCAACCACTCACTTTTGTAGAAACAACTATTCTCTTGTTGAATAAGTAAAAGAGGTCTTGCAGGGCAAATTTTGTAAAATGTGAGACAGATTTCGGCTCTAAGTCATCTGGTCTACTTAACCTTTGTTTATAGAAGAACTTCCCAAAATCCATCTTCCTCATGAGGAGAATGGGAACATTGACTTCTGGGGATGTTCTCTTACCTGAACATCTAGTGCTTTTGATACCCTGGCCACTCATGTCAAGACATTCTCAAATCCCCTTCTGAGAGCATAAGTGCCACAGGTGATGCACCTTTGTAGCGAATTCCACCGTCACTAGATATAGAATACGACTCGGAAGTCACCTCCCTACCTAACCCCAACTCTCTGTAAAAGAATTGACTCAGAAAAGCCACATCTGTTTCTACCACATAGAACTTGTCGGCTCTGCAGTACCTTTGCCAGGATCAGCTGGGTCTGTCAAACCTTAGTGTCTTTAGCAAATATGGAGCAGCGAATGCTTGAACCCAAGGTTATAACAGATGAAAACACATGCATCTTTTATAATCACATGATTCTACATTCTAGAGCACACCCACAATGACAAAAATTTTTAGAATCTGGATGTACAGGTAACAAAGACCATGACCTCATAAAAAGTCAATTCATCTCAGTTCCAGTGACTGCATCAGCACTGTCTGGTTTGAAAAATAAGGATGGTTCTTCCTAATTCTAATATGATTCCCTGAAAAAAGTGGTTTAACGTGTCTAAGTATGTGTGTCACTTCAAAGAGGAGGAAATGGATGAATCAGATAATTAGTTCCAATTTAACATATATACATGCATATCCTTAAAATGTCATTAATATATGTATATGTGTGTGAATATATATTTCCTCCACTTAAATTATAACTGTGAATGAGTTAATACTGGAAATTGAAAAATATGATGGCAATTATGGTAAAAGTCTTTTTTGGTCATCTCAACTGGCAAGACTATATGCCAATGCTCCAGACTTCTAGAGACAGCTATCCTAAGGAAGAGAAGAGCATACTATTAAACTAATATATTACTCAGTGTATTATATTTGCTAGGGTTGCTGTAACAAAGTGTCACAAACTGGGTTTAACAACACAATTTATTATCTCACAGTTATGGAAGCTAAAGTCCGAGATCAAGGTGTCAGCTGTGTTGATTCCTTCTGAGGGCTGAGAGAGACAACATTTTCCAGGCCTCCTTCCTCACTTCTGGTGGTTTGCTGGCAATCTTTGG